AACATCTTGCCAGACTGTTCGCTTCAAGAATATCTTCAAAACAGACTCCTTTCTACTCTTTTCTTTCCAAACGATCGTTCTCCTCATCTCTGGAACTCTTCAACCTGTAATGACTATAAACAACTGGAAAGACTCGATAAAACCATTAAAACCATTAGTATAGAACACCTAATCTATGTCAAAAACACAATATATCAGAGCACTGCGTAAAAAACATTTGGAGAGCATTAGCATTTGCTAAGTACTTCTCTAAATGCTTTTTAGTCAAATGTTAATTCGATAATATAGAGGGTAATACTTATGCTAATGTTCTACCAATTAAGCCCTTATATTTCAAACAATATCAGTATATAACCAAACCGAATATCATTGTCGTCCTAGTTGTCTGGTGGTAATTAAATATTTTTCCCCAAAATTATGCCGGAGAAAATAGAACGACCACTAATTTAGTATATGGTGGTTATCTGACGCATGAATAAATTGTGCTCGTTTGATTCTGTATCTAGTGATATGTGGCAAGCTTTTGGGCCTAGATGTGGCTATTGCATTGTCTACTAGTGATATCATGGATTCGTACGTTAACCAATCCAGTAAACGGGGCTATTGTCGTAAAGCCAAAGATGGACCAGAAATTGTTTCTATGGTGGAACTTTTAACCATGCCTAAACCGTTAACAAACACCTTCTTGTAATGGTTGTTTCAAGTTTCTTATATAAATGTATAGACCGCTCACTCGTTTTGGTAAAGCGTACCTGAAACCACAACTGATTGCTAACGTAAACATGAGCACGAAGAGTGAAGCCCACCGTCCTCTAGCTGATTATTCAGCAAATATCTGGGAAGATCTCTTAACTTATTTCTCAAAGTCCCAGCTTGTACGTATATTTTTTTCATATTATTCTATTAAAGCATTATGTAAATAACATGCTTTGGATTGTGAAAATATTTACTCATGCATGTATAATACTTCATTTCCATATAGGGAAGTACTGAGGCGTTAAAAGAAAAGCATAGTACTCTAAAGGGGGCCGTGAAGGAAGCGTTTATGGTTTCAAAAGTGAATCCCATAGAGAACATCAAGTTCATCGATGCTCTATGTCGCCTTGGTGTCTCCTACCATTTTGAGATAGACACTATAGAGCAATTGGGAAATTTATTTGATAGTCTTGATATTAATCGTTTGATACAACATGATGAATGCGATTTATATACTGTTGGGTTGCTTTTCCAAGTTTTCAGGCAATTCGGGTTCAAAGTTTCCCCTGGTAATTATTTTAATTTATACTCTGTTTTAAATTAAATATATAAATGAAGAATAGATGATTTTTATTTAACCCAATTTAAATTTATACTCTCAAGATGTGTTTGAGAAGTTCAAGGGCGAGGATGGGAAGTTTAAAGGAGACTTAGTGGCAGATGCGAGCGGTATATTAAGCTTGTATGAAGCTTCACAATGGAACACTCATGGAGAAGATATTATTGACCAAGCTCTCGATTTTTCAAGCAGTCTTTTAAAAGAACTTTCTTTTGAATCTATCCCCCAGCATCTTGCAGTACGCATTAAGAATGCTCTAAAGCATCCTTACCACAAAGGCATCTCAAGGATAGAAACGAGGAAATATATCTCATACTACGCGGCAGAAGAGAAGCATGACGCAGTTTTACTTGAGTTTGCAAAGATAGATTTTAATATGCTCCAAAGGCTACACCGCCAAGAGCTTGCTTGCGTAACAAGGTATTATATGAGCTGTTCAACGCATGTATGTGTGAGTCGTGTGACATGAACTTGATCTTTTTTTTTTCATTACATTTCAGGTGGTACGATGAAATGGAAATTAAATCTAAAGTAACATACACAAGGCATCGAATAGCAGAGGGGTACTTGTGGTCACTTGGGGCATATTTTGAGCCTCAGTATTCTCAAGCACGAATTAAAACAGCTATTGCACTAATCCTATTTACAATTCTTGATGATACGTATGATGCGTATGGCACAGTGAAGGAACTTGAGATTTTCACAGATGCAATTCAAAAGTACTCCATTTGCAAATAGTTAAAATACAATAAACCATGTACTATAGATTTTTAATTTTCTTTATGGCTATGATTTATACGATATGGTTGGCTTTAATAGGTGGCTTCCCACTCCGCCTAACATGATACCTGAGAGCATGAAGTACGTGTACCGTATCATGGTAGATTTCTATGACAAACTTGAAGAGGAACTTGAGAACGAAGGAAGGTCAGGTTGTGGCTTCCATCTTAAGAAAGCAGTTAAGACCACAAAAATATATTAGATAAGCTAAAATGTTTTTATATATTTTACATATATATTACATAAGCTAAAATGTTTTTATATATTTTACAAATATATTAGATAAGCTGAAATGTTTTTATATATTTCATATATATATTAGATAAGCTATAATGTATTTATATATTTACATATATATTAGATATTTTAGTTTTATTATGGAATTATTATTTTGATGAATTATAAAATTTAGATATACAAAAAAATGAAATTAGACCAATTATGGATTTGTACTAATATTATTAATGCTAACTTAAACATATTTGATCAATTTACTTCGATTTAGACCAATTTGAATTACATAAATCGAATTTTAAGAAAATCGTTTTGACTATAACTGATTTGATGTCTAAGTGGAAGCCTAGGCACTGTTTAAACCAATTATTTATATATATATATATATATATATATATATATATATATCTCTATAATATTATTTGAGAAGTCACTTTCTTAGGTGTCGCGCTCACGTTAACTCTCACACTGGTTGATTACTATGATACCCCTAATGAATTAAAAATATATTTAAATATTATTATTTCCTTTTTAAAATCTTCTAAATAACAATATAAAACAAAAAGGAAATATTTCTAAAATTTACAAAACTATTTAAAAACGAAAAATAAGTATATATATAATATGGTTTTATAAAAAAGGAAAGTTTACAAAATAGTAATATTTAACTTAAATATATTTTTAAATAACATAAATTATACTTTTTAAGTAATTATACTTTATATCTATATCTTCTTAAATGAAAAAAAATATTTGTATATAATGTGTTTTCATAAAAAAATTTCATACAAATAATCTTGATATTAGAAAAAGAAACATTTTTCCTTTAAAAAATAATTTAAACAATAAAATATATATTTTCAAAGTAATTAGTTTTTGTATATATCTATCTCTTTTATTAGATGATTACATAAAATAATTAAGTAACATAAACTGATATATGTTTAATTGACAAAAAAATTATAATTAGTATATTTATTTGATTACAATATCTTACCGTTACAGCAAAAAATATAAATTATATTTTACTTATATAATATAATTTCTCAAAAACAATCACATTTTTACTGCATATTTTAAGAGATATTAAAAACAAAACTAAAAATAAATTTAATGGTAAACATCTTTTGATCAGATAACTACAATTATTTTAAAATATCATAACACTATATAATTTAACGAGGTAGATATATTATATTTTAATAGTTAAAATTATAGGTTTTCTTAATAACTCTTTTGATGTTTAATTTTCTGTTTTTATGTTTGTGGAATTTAATATAACCATAATCAAAATACTTAAGAAAAATTATAATTATTTATTTTAAAAATTATTTAAAATAAATTTCAGTTTACCATCCAATCAATCTAAGGCATAAATTATTTAAAATTTCTAAAATATTTCATTATTGTAAATATTGATATGTTTTCATAAGCTTCTGAAAATTTATTATTACTTATGTACGTAATTTAGAATCAGACAATTTAGTTTTTATTTTTTTCGTTCTAAGCACAAAAATATTAAAATACATAATCTTACTAAGATATACTTATATTTCTAAGATAACAACCAACATAAATGTAAATAAAACAATTAATCAAAAGTTTAAGATATTTAGAATAAAAAAATTATAGTTGAATTCAGAGAAATAGATAGAATCCAATATATATATATATATATATCCAAATGATAAACTAACTAAATATAATGTATCTAAAATTATATACAGTATAACTAAAATAATATAATATTATTAATATAATTATACATAAAAATTATAAATTAATCTAAAATTTTAAATAAATATCAACTATTATAATATATTTATTTTATAAATATTTATGTCCGTGCATGAGCACGGGAAAATCACCTAGTATATATATATATTTAGACCTAATGAATTATATACAATCAGTTGAAGACAACAGCGAATGGATATATGCAAGAGGCAAAGTGGTTGAAGAAAGATTACACTGCTACATTTGACGAGTATATGGGGAATGCAGTATTGTCTTCCGGTTACTATTCCTTGATTGCCATGACATTTGCGGGAATGGGAGATGTCGCAAATCTTGATGTTTTTGAATGGTTAAGCTCTAACCCTAAAATTAGGGTAGCTTCTGAGATGATCTGTCGATACACAGATGACATTTCTAGCTACGAGGTGAGCAACTAATATTTAATTATTCGAGTTTGTATAGTCCTAATTGTATATACATAATACATGTTTCTCAAATTGAATAAGTTTGACAAAATATATTATGGTTTGCAGTTTGAACGAAAAAGGGAGCATGTAGCGACGGGTATTGACTGCTATATGAAGCAATTTGGTGTTTCCAAGGAACAAGCAGTGGAAGGAATAAAAGTTCTTCTTTCTGGTGCATGGAAGGACATGAACCAAGAGCTAATGAGGCCTCATTCATGGCCTTTCCCTCTTTTGATGCGAATTTTTAATTTATCTCGTGTCATCGATGTATTCTATAGGTACCACGATTGTTACACCCACCCTGAGTTCCTGAAAGAGCACATCGTCTCCTTGTTCATTGAAGATATACCCATTTGAAAACATTGTTGTGATTGTTCCTATATATGGAGTAACTCATTACAAGATTATGGCCAAATAGATTTCTCGACATTTCGCTCTCAATATATTGTCATTTGTATTGTATTGTATTTCTGTTGCATGCGTGGTTGTAATCCATTTATGTTTTTATTTGTATTTATGTTGGTTACTCCATTTGTATTTGAACTAGTACTGTATATGCATCAATTGTTTTTTTTTTCTTATTATCAATGCTTTTAGTTTAATTGGAAAATATGAAAAGTAACCCTAGGAATCATAATCTTTTATCAAAAATAAAAACCCTAGGAATCATATACATGGACAAGATTAGTATTTCGTATATTTTAAATATGGATCTGAAACAATTACGGTTCTAATAATACAAAATCATAAATAAATCCATCTCCACAGGAAATCGATCACCAGCTGAAAGTTGAAACTAATTGCCTCAAACTCAAAGTGAAGTTTTTAGAGAAACCAGAACAACATATCCTTGCCCCCTCTGTCATACCTCAACTTTCTTGTCCAGCACACCATAATTGTGAACCTTCTGCTTCAGAAAGAATCTCTGCATAGCAGTAGCGTTCACTTAAACCATTTGTGCCACGCTGTTGTGAAGAAAGGTGAATGAACTTCGAAGAAAGCAAAGAACTTTTAGAGCTAAAAATGAATTCAGACGAATTGCGGTTTAGAGTTTGTATATTGATTGTGTGAGTAATAAAAACCTTACGACATGTTTTGGCAGCTACGTGTCATCACCACAATGATTTTTAATATCTTTACTAGATTTTGACCCGCGCAACCGCGCGAGTGTTTGTTTTCGTTTATAGTTATTTATATAAACATTTTATTTTCACTTTTAAATTGGTATATATTATAGTAATCACATATTTACGATATGTATAGTAAATGTTTTTCAAACATAATAATATTATATAATACGTGCTTTAATCAAATAGATTGTTTCAAATTTTCTATATTATACATGTTTTTCAAACATAAGTTTGTTTCTTCTTCTATATTTTATTGTTTGTTAGATTAGTATTTCATTTTTAGATAATGTAATATAAATAGAGCTTGATTAAATATTAGTATACTTTAATTTACAAAGATAATATAAACTTTGAAGAAATTTTTGCTAAAAACTAAACTTATAGCTTCATAAATTAATATTATAAAAAAAAATTTATAAGGAATTTTTTTAAACAATTTTTTTTTTAAAAAACAATATAATTTTAAAAAATTACATCGAAATAAATTTATCTACTATATATAGCATGTAAATTTTGTTTGGGTATATAAATATTTCATATTACGAATCTGTGATTTTTGTTAATATATTGTGAATGCATTTAAATATTATTGACATATTTCCTTATAAATAATAGAAGATTCCTAAACTTATATCTATTGACATATTTTGTGTGACTAAGTTGGAAGGTGTAGGATAATTTACCATGAAGTCAAATTATGACTTCTATTTTAATATATAAGATAAAATGGTTGGTCCATCTAAACATATCTTATATTTTTTATTAAACTAACTATCAAATTAGTTAATAGTGTACAAAATAATATTCTATATTCTTTTCTTAAATAAAAATTAGGGTTTTAGTAATAAAACCCCCCAATTAAAGATGGATCGTAAAAAAAAGATTTTTAACATAAGAACCCCTCAACTAAGTTTGTTTTGGGTAAAAACCCCTAAACTAAGTATTTAATGAAAAACCCCCAAAATAACTTTATTTAGTGAATTAAACCCTCGTCGGTCATAATTACCAGTACTACCGGTAAATCTTCAGTTTAAGGGTTTTATCATTAAACATAAAAATCAATAAAATTCAAAATATAATAACATATCTAAAAATTTGTAATTTTAATTTTAAAAACTAGCATTTAAAAAAAAAATTATAACTATATGAGTCTGATTTGTTATCCTTTTAAAATCAAAATTATATATGTATAAATTTAAAATGTAAAAACCAAGAAAATATAAGAAAATTACCTAACGATTTACCTGTAATAAAAATTATCAAAATTTATAAATATAAAAACAAGAAAACAGAATAAAAATTATATCTTATTTAATAAAAATGTAATAATAAATCTTTAGATGCTTTTTATTATATTTTGGTGTTTTAAAATTTTAATCTATATATATATATATATAATATTGATGTTAAAACAAATTAAACTCATATATTTACAGAAATTTTGCAAAATTCTAATTTTTAAAATTTAAGTTACTAATTTTTAGATAATGTTATAATTTTTTTTTAGATTTTTAATGATAAAACCCTTCAACTATGTTTAATATGGGGGTTTTAGTTGTTAGTTTGGGGGTTTTTACCCAAAACAAACTTATTTAAGGTATTTTAGAGTTAAAAATCCATTTTACAAGGATAAGAAATCATTCATATATTTACAGAAATTTTTAAAATGCTAGTTTTGAAAATTAAGATTACGAATTTTTAGATAATGTTATTATATTTTGATTTTTTTTCTTTTTTTTGAACTTTTATGTTGAATGATAAAACCCCTAAACTAAAGATTTACCGGTAGTACTAGTAATTATGACCGGAGAGGGTTTAATTCACTAAATAAAGTTAGTTTGGGGTTTTTTTCATTAAATACTTAGTTTAGGAATTTTTACCCAAAACAAACTTAGTTGAGGGGTTTTTATGTTAAAAATCCTAAAAAAAAACCCCAACTAAAGATATAGTGAAATAAACCCTCAACTTTAGTTTTGTTAATGCTTGTCACTATCCGTCACATAATTTTAGACGGAGGGTCGACGCGAGCCCCTCCTCGGGCGGATTCCTCCTTTTGCTAAGCATTACACAATCTCCGAGATCTTATATTTTTTTGAAAAAAAAAACATACGTTAACATAACTAAAGTTGAGGGTTTATTTCACTAAATCTTTAGTTGAGGGTTTTTGTTACGATCCATCTTTAGTTGAAGGTTTTATTACTAAATATGGTTAAATATTTTTAAATCTTTATTTTCATTTATTCATTATTTAAGAATCTTAAAATTGATTTATAAACTTTGAAAATAATTTATATTTTTTATATAATATTTTATCAATTTTATAACCTATTTAAAGGGATTTATTACATTGTGTTATGTATATGTTTAGTTGAGGGATTTTATTACTAAAAACCCTAAAATTACAGAATTACCTAATATGGTTAACATATATATATATATATATATATATATATATATATATATGATAATTAATGATTCAGAATAATAAATATTTGAAAAAATTTTTGTATCTTTCATCATTTTTATTTAAATTTATATTCTTAAAAATTAAATATTCACATTAACCACAAAATTTAAATTTAAATTTTTTTATATGCTTTATTTTGAATTTTTTTAAATGACTATCAATTATTAAGACTATTAAAATCCCACAATGAAAACTTTGTGATCAAGAGTTTAATTTTTTGTTATAATAAAATACAAACAATTATAAAATCATATAAATATGAAATATCATTTAATAAATAATCAGATTATATATATATATATATTTCAATAAAATAAATATCATATATAAAATACATAAAAATGTGAATTTCAAAATTTGCATTGAGTAGGAAGCATCAATTAATAAATATTCATATCAATAAAAACGAAAAAATTCCAGCAAATATAAAAATGTTAAGAAAATCATAGGAGTACGAACCTGAATAATAAATATCCTATTAAAATATACTATATATCTATGTCAATATTATTTATTTTTTTATATACCGTATAAAATAAATGATTGTTTTGCTTTTTTAACAACAAAATTATTGTAAATAAAAAAACTTATTTTTCTTTATATGCTTAATCCAATTTACTTGTATACATACTAGTTACTTAATTCTCAATTATTTATTATATTTATTATTGCATAATACGTAAATGAACAAAAAAATAATTATATGTATAAATAATTTGTATACATAATTAATGTTCTTTTTGTAGCAAAACAAAATTAATATTTATTCCGTCCAAGCACGGATCTCAAATGCTATTTTATTATATCATTTGGAAAATACAATTCTTTTTACTGAAGTGAAAATGTAAATGGTAACATCCTTATGTGAATTAAATAGGTAAAAAAAAAGTTATCAATATGGTCCAATACTCAACAACTTAATATTAATAGTCCATGAATATATATTTGAGAACTTATAAAACGATGGTTCAATAATCAAAATTAGTATTCAAATATCTTTTTAAATAAATTTCATCCCGCCCATAAGCGCAGATAATCACCTAGTTCATTTATTATTCCTTAGACTTGTATTTATATTAGCCTCAAAACCCAATTTATTTTCTCCTTCACATTTTTAACCTATAAAAATACTTTTCTTAATCCGAAAAAATAAATCTTATCGTGAATGTGGCATTTTCCTGTGCACAGAGATTTTTAAACACAATGTCATGAAATCTAGTGGTTTAGATGACTCACTTTTCAGATTAGGTTTTGAGCCAAAACGAACTGAAGTGGCTTGTTCTATAATCGTTTAAGGACCAAAACTCCACATCCAATGCCAAGAAAAGTTGCTATGGAGACTCCAAAAACGCCAGAGAGAATCCCTGGGACGACAAGAGAAGTCCATCCTTTAGCGGTTGCCATGGCACAAGCAGTGGTTGGGCCTCCTATGTTAGCGTTTGAAGCAAGAAGCAGTAGCTTCATGTCGATAGAGAATAGCTTCCCCAGAAGCAAAGTCATTGCAAGATGAACCATTACTTGAATTACAGCAAAGAGGAAGATACTTGGAGCAGTGTTGATCACATTCCATACACTCCCTGTAGCTCCTAGAATCGTGAAAAATACCTGAACAAAGAAAAGATTCAAAAATTAAAAGGGGACTACTAATTTGGATACATTGGCCAATGATACATCCCTAATTGGTTATAGTGGATAGAGTATAATAAAAGGAAATAGTACCTGCATGAGAACGAGAGAGATGGTTTCAGCAGACGGTGCCAGAGAGTTGAAGAAACTAGGGAAAGAAGTTGCCAAGACGATGGTGATGGCTGTAACTGCAGGAAGCATGCCTCCTTGGATGTTGAGTAGCTCTGTCATCGAAATTGCAGCTTTACAAATTAGGAAAGAAACTGATAATGCAATTGACGTAGAAACCACTCTGTTCTTCTCCTCAACTTTGTCATCCTTAGTCATTTCAGCATCTGCCAGAGAACCACATAGAGCT